AGTATTCGTATTAAGCAAATAAAGTGTTAATAATAAGAGGGAGGCATGTCTTTAAAAATCATGAATTCTGCAAGGCATTTTGTGTTCTAGTTGTAATAGTTTTGTCCAGATTATTAGGACAAATAGCAATGGATATATCACTGTTTGTATTACAGGTTGAATATCTCTAATCCAAAAATTTGAAATCCAAAATGCTTCAAAATCTGAAACTTCTAGAGCACCGACATGTTGCTCAAAGACAAAACTCATGAGAGCATTTCAGACTCCAGATTTTTGGATTAGAGATACTTAACTGGTAAGTATAATGCAAATATTCTGATATCCAAAAAAAATCTAAAATCCAAAACACTTCTAGTCCCAAACATCTTAGAGTAGGGATACTTAACCTGTAATACCAATAGACATAATGCATCTGGGAAGATTTTTTTTATTATAAATAGTATCCAAATGAAAATATGGCTTAATAGAAATTGTAGCTTTCTTTCTCTTCTTTGAATTTTATATTTGGACATTGGGAAATGATTTCATTACACATAGTCTAGCATTTGATTATGAAGCATTCTCACATATTTCAGCTGAAATTCTACTCCCTTTGCAGTGATTATAAATGCTGATTTCCCTGCCACCAGGTGACTCTTGTGGATTTGTTTAAAGCTTATACATACCTAGTTTTGTTAAGAAATCCAACAGATGCCAGTTAAGCTGTAAGAAATAAAATAATCTAGCTCTTGGCTATGTTTTAACAGATTATAATATTGAAAGAAAATAATGAATGCTTATAAAATAACATTTCTTTTTTTGTAAACATAATGGGAATAATAAAGTAATGGTGAGATCTCTGCTGATTCTTATTACTTGCCTTTGTAATGAGATACTTAAAATAGAATGTGTGGCAAGCAGAGGAAGGTACCAGTTCTGCTGAAGAAATCTCTGACCTCTTCCACATTATTGAACATAAACCTGGATTTTCTGTATTATTACCCCCCCAAACACACTGTTTTTTAAACAACAAAAAGCTGAACATCTACCAATCATTGTTCTGGAAACCAATTTTAAGTGACTTTAAGTTAGAGTTTTTATTCATTCTGTAAATCCTTACTGAGCTTTAGTGTATGCTGGGCCCTGTGCTTGATCTAGGGAGTTGGTTCAGATCTACATTCTATCCAGTAGCTGACCGCAGGAGGCTATGGTCCATGTGGTATAAAGGCATGTTTGCAATTATCTATAATTTACATTAGTATGGCTAAATATGATAAGAAAGGCAAACATTATATTAGTTCAGTTGAGAGGATAGAGAGAAGAGGGAAGACCGCAGGCAGGGGGAGTATTTGAGCAGGGCCTAAGGGTGAGCGGAGGTTGGAAGACAGATCTGAGGGAGCGTGGTGTATGCTGAAGCACTTAGGCAGAGTTTTGGGAGGTGGGCAGGTGTTAGGTACCTTTGAGGACTGACAGGTTGTCCAGTTTGTCTGGCACACCACTACCTCCCAAGCAGGAGCTTGAGCTGATATGAGTTAAATAGGCCTTTTAGCAGTTTTTTTATAGTTGAGTGGTAGGGAGCCCTTGAAGGCTTTTGAGCTGGGAATAACTCGGTGAAATTGGAACATTAAGAATATTTGCCTTTTGGCTGCTTTACGAGACACAAAAAGGAAGCCAAGGTAGTAGTTCAAATGAAAAGGAAGAAATTCTCGACTTAGGATGGTAACAGGTGGGCAAGGAAATTAAAAGACATTAACTGAATTCATGGAATGTGGCTGTGTTAGGGACAAAGTGCCAAAAAAGGCAAGTGTGTTTGTGTTTGTATATCAACAGAAATATATTTGACTGTATCGAGTCCAAGAATTGAAATCCTGGGGCTAGAAAGAAGCTAGTTTTGCAGGGCTCCGTGAGGGCGGGGCAGCCTTCTCCGTCTCTGCATCCCCAGTCTCCCAGTTTCAGGCACCATGCTTAAGAAATGTGGAAGGAAGGAATATGGTGGATTGAGTTGTATACATAAGTGACTTTACCTCTGGGACAGAACTGTCAGATGATTAAGGATCTACCCGACCTGGATTTGAATCCTGACTTGGCAATTCCTAGGTAGGAGATCTTGAGCAAGTTCTGCAAGATGGAGGATAACAAAACTATCTTTTGGGATATGATATAATTAGTTATATCAACTGAATGAATTAATACACATAAAACGTTTAACCTAACATCTGCTATATACGTGAGATAAGTGCTCCTCAGACATTAACTGTTTTTACTCATGGGGAGAGTAGATGTGAGCCTGTGATTGGCAGAAAAGCAATGATGAATTGTCACTGGGGTTTGGGAGCAGTAGCCGGTGAGTCCTTGAGGTCCTGAACCTAGAGGCTGGGAGTAGGAGTGAGTCAGTTTAGGGAAAGCTCCCACTGAGGAAGTGGGAGAAGGAATGGTAAAGGAGAAAAGAAGGACCAGGTCGGAGATACAGGAGGGGACCTGAAGAGTTCAGTGTTGGCTATCACAGGCAAAGAGACTGCTTCAGTGTGGAACGTACCAAATTCAGAGATCAGGAAGTACAAGAACTGAGACTAGACATTGAGTTTGGTTGTTCAGGAAGACATTGACCAACCTTGGAAGTGTAGTTATAGGAGAGCAGAAGCCAGATTCCCTGTGGTTAAGGAGAACATCAAGGAAAAAGGGAAGATTCTATAGGCTAAGGAAGAGAGCTGATCATCTCAGTGGAGGAAGGGATGAAAGGCAAGACTTCAAAATATCTTTTTTTTTTTTCTGTCTCTATCTCTTCCATGGAAATAAAATATCTTAAAGACAGTATAGCTTTGAAATTGGCACTAGCAAAGTAATTGATAGGCTAGGGTGTACCTGTGGTACCAGCCCACCACTTTGCACGGCTCTTTGTTGTCGTCCATGTGAGCAGTCCTCCTGGGGTGCACTTAAGCCTGTAAGGTCCTGTGCAGCAGCACTGGTACAGTGGCATGCATATTAAAAAATGAATAAAGTATAATATGTAAAACAAATACTAATTAATTCTAATTAATGCAATAAAATACAGTTATGTGTTGCTTAATGACAGGGATATGTTTTGAGAAATGCGTTGTTGAACAATGTCGTATGAACATCATAGTGTACTTACATAAACCTAGATGGTATAGCCTACTACATACCTAGGCTATGTGGTATAGGCTATTGCTCCTAGGCTACAAACCTGCATAGCATGTTACTGTCTGAATACTGTAGGGAACTGTAACACAATAATAAGTATTTGTGTACCTAAACATAGAAAAGGTACAGTAAAAATACATTATTATAATCTTACCAGACCACCGTCGTATATGCAGCCCATTGTTCACTGAAAAGTTATGTGGCACATGACTGTATATTATAACCAACACTTAATGAGTTCTGTGGGCCAGCAGTGTTATAGGTGCTTTTGCATATATCATTTAATCCTCCCAGCAACCCTATGAGGTATAGGTGTTGTTCTCATTTTATAGTTGGGGGGTGCCCAGGTAACTTGCCAGAGTCACACGGCTGGTAATGGTGGAGTCAGGATTAAATACCAGCCGATTCAGCTGCAAAGCCCATGCTGTCAAGAGCCATATTCTGCAACTTCCTTTATTTTGTTTCTGAATTGCTTAGGCTGAGCAGATGCCATTAGATGTCATGTCTAATGAAGCAGGAAGATACTAAAGAAAGGAAAATTGAACATGAAGGAAAGGGCTGGTGGTTGTTGGTGGAGCAGTGTTTCAGAGGATCAAGAGCACAGGGAGAGAGGATCAGTAATGGAAAAATCACACCACTTGCTCTTTGGGAGAGGAAGAAGAGAGGATTTGCAAAAATACAGAGAAAAAGGCAAGAGATTTTGCAGGAGAGATGGAAAGGTAGACAATTTAAGGAGATATTTTGAGGTGGTGAGGGAGGCCACTTTCCATCATGAGAATTTTCCAGTGGATTTTTAAAAATGGTCTCCCACTGATTGTTTAATTAGACCCAGTAGTCCTATTGAAGAAAAGGGCCTGAATGAGCTAGCATTAGGGTGGGACATTCATCGACCTTGACAGATTTCCAAAGCACTGTTTGGTGGAGCCTTGACGGTAACACCCTCCAGGAGAGGGCTGTATTTTGGTCAACTGCTACTGAGTTGATTTGCTGCCATAAGTGGAGTTGAACAGAAGTAGGAGATTGAGGAAAGAGTCATGTTGTCTTTTTTCGCCACTTGGGAAGATATCCCAGGTTTAGGGGAGGAAGGGAAACACAAAGCAGTAGAAAGAATGAATGAAGGAAATGGAGACGTTTTGACTTTGAGGGGTGCTGAGGCATGGATGGCACTTACCTGAGTAGCCCCTGCATCAGACCTGTTCAGGGCTTTCCAAAAATCAGATATGTCATTTAGAGTAGTGCTTCTCAGACAATCTGTAGGGAAGGGCTCTTGTTGTTTTAGTATGATACAAAATGAATTAGAAAACAATGAATTAAAAAACCAAAGACATAAAGAGTACAAACCCAATTTGTTTTCTATTACTAGATTCAAAAGACACACAATTACTCTGTAAAATTGCTAAAAAAGTTTCTAAGTGCTTACTTTTAATTTCTGCAATTAGCTTGTGATGGACTCCTGACACACTCAGAAGCAACAGGGACCCTCACTGATGGGGACTGTAGATGCCATGCATGGTTGTTTACAAGGTTCCCGTTCCCTGAGCTCTTCCCAGAGTGCCTAGCCCAGTGCATGGCACATGATGGATACTCATCAAATAAATGCTGGTTAAGTGGTCCCTTTAAGAGACAGTTTTTGTGTGCAGAATAAAATTAGTATGATGGACGTCTCTCAAAATGATGTTAATTAAAATTTGTTCACCTGGTGGTAGAACTAAAGCAAAGTTATACTTTTACCTTGTTTGGCAGTTTTCAAAAACCACATCTTACTAGGTTTCCAAAAACCTTAGTTCCTGGAAAGCCACCATTTGTCCCTTGCATTGTGTATGTACTAACATCAGCCACTGTTCATCATTTGGTTTTAGATTGTGTCAGCAGCTAAGGTGTGCGCGGCTGCCAGTGAGTCACCATCAGTGAAGAGCCTCTGCTTGCTTGTTGCTGATCAAGACTTTTCTTTTAAAGCTGGCCAGTGGTAAGTGGGTTTTCTTTTTTCCAAGTGCGTACATTCAAGAAGGTGCCATTAGATAGAAGGAATTATTTTTTCTTCTGGAAAGGACTTCTGTGGCTAGCCATTCCCCCATGGGAGAGGAATTCTCTCCATCATTTCCATTCAGGATGAGCCTTTTTTTGGCATGGAGCATCTGATTCCTTTCCTGGCCTCAGAGCCTGCTTTGGTTTTGAGCCCATGGCTTCCTCAGTTATATATGAAAATTGCTGTCTTGCATTTTCCAGATTCAAACAAAGCAGCTAGTTGTAGTCCATGGAACCAACAGCTCTGATAATTACATTCTGTAGGAATGGCTGCTAACAGAATGCACCGCTGTAATCTAATCTGCTTGAGTGATGTGTTGCTAGGTATTCATATGTTTTTAAAAATTAGTATTATGTCCAGTGCAGAGTAAACACAAAGCAGCCTGAAAAGGAGAGTAACCAGAGATGTCATCACAGAGCTGACCACTCTTGACTGGATTCTTGTGTCACTTATACCTTGTCTGGGTTGAGTTTAAATATTTTGCTTAATTTATTATGAGGATTTCCCAGTCAGGCCCAGCCCACACACACAGAAATCATAAGTGTGTCCCATTTGACTCTGAGGACTAATTAGTATGCTGATAGGATAACAGCCCAGCTGTCCCTCTGTTCCTCAGATGGCCTTGCTGAGCTGCAATTCAAGTTGAATTGTAAAGAAAGCAACTTGAATTTCCCTAGGAAAGGTGTGTTTGGGTGTGTGTGTCCTTTATTTAAATAAAGCATTCATTTCTAAATGAATTTCTGGCATGTCAGTCTTGATAGTATGTCTTAGGAGTCACTTGACTAATTTTGGCAGTCCATCTGGAAATGTGGTTTTGTTAGAAGGAGGATGTGTGATAATAGCAAGTGTGATAATAGCAAGAGTTAGCAGTCTTGTGTTAATAGTTTGCCTTTGAATTTAGAACTAGAAAACAAGATGCTGATTGCAATAATTTGCGTTAGTGAAGCAATTTACTGCAATCTTTGCACATGTTCAGTGATACATATTAAATGCATTTTGGCTGTTTTAGGGGGTGGGCAACATATTTACCCTTCAGAAGTGGTTTAGCAGTTATTACATTGAAAGTGGAAACTTTAATTGTAATGATTCGTTTTTCCATATTTCCCTTCTGTGGAAGTGTTTCGGTTCTGTGCACGGCATTGTCTTTGTGCCTTCAACTCTGAATTTTGCCAAGACTCAGACCCTCATCTCCTGGTTAGAAAAGGCCTGTTATAGTGCTGCCACCCTGGTATGCCTGCAAGTATATTAGCACTTGCAAATTGCAGGTACCTGAGAAGAAAAACGTCATTATTCCCTAGTGATACAGGGGTAGAAATGGAGTCTCATTGAGATTCCCAAGATTATTCGAGGCTTATGTTATCTTACCCCATTGAGTGGATTTGGTCATTTCCCTAACTTTAGGCCTGATTTTAATATGTGCCTGACACACTCCTGCTTTAGAGGGCACATTTGCAGGATGGTTATCACTGGCTGGTTAGTGGTGACCCTTTCCCTGCCAGGTGTCAATCAGCATTCATTCTTGTTGCCTGTGCCCTCCCCTTTTAAAAGATTGCACTCTTACCATTGACTTATTATACGGCTCTAGGGTTTGAGAGTTCCTTTTGATATTTGACCTTATGAGTACAGAATGAGTACAGAATGGCCATTTTGGTTAGATTGGCAGTGTCTATCGCTTTTGTGCTGTTGCTAGGATGGTTTTTGCTCCAGGCTCTCTCAGATCATCAACTTGGTAGCATCTCCATGTGGTACTTTGGAGAAGAGGGCAAGGATTAGGGAGAGGGAGTTGGGATATGGCTGCCACGCATTTTGTGTAGTTAGGATTATCAGAGTGGAGAGCTGCTGGAGGTACAGGATCACTGTTGGGCTCATCTCTGGGGTAAGAGATGGGACCATGCTCCCACATCTCTGCTTTCTTGACTGGTAGCCTCCTCTGATGCCTACTAAACTCTGAGGATGAGGTTCCAGGCCCAACTCTAAATAAATGAATAATAAATAAATAAATGAACAAATGGCTCTCTGACTAGCTGGAGCTTTGGCCACAGATCTCCATGTAGATAGACACTTTCAGCGTAGACCAGATATAGGCCACAGGGTGCTCTTCTTATACTGTTGCTGTGTAATTATTGGGCCCTCCTGTACTGGGAAACCAGCTCGAAGAACCCTAGCAGTCCCATCCAGAGAGAAAGGCCAGAAGAGGAAACCACCTCAAAACATTTCTCACATGAGCAGTGCTAAAACCTTTGTGCTCTGAGGCCTACCAGTAGGCCTGCTGCTTGCTTAGCAACTCTTTGGTGAGTCCTACCCTTGACCAGAATTCCTCCTTCCGGGGGTAGAAAGATTAGCGTTCTCTTTTGGGGCTGGAGCATGCCACCAACAGTTCACATGCAATGTGCTGCTGCCCTCAGTTTCCAGATTCACACTCTGCTGTGGCACTCGCTGCCTGCCTCCAGCAGTGACTGCACTGCTGTGGGGGGACCCCTCCCAGAGGGGTCCATGTCCCCCTAGTGCTCTGGAGACTGCCCAGCTCATGTGCTTCCTTTCTACCTGCTTGGTCTGTGATGTGGGTGGTTTCCTTATTACTCTGGGCTTCAGTTTTCATAGCTTTAAAGAGGGAACAGTAGTATGTGTTTTGGGATATTTAACGTGTTTAACACAATGTCTAATGTTAACTTTATTCATTTGTTTTTATTTTTTGTTATTGCTAGTAAGTATTTCACTCGGTCATTTAGATCATCTGTGCTTGTGAGGTCCAAGGGATAGATTCCAGTTGTTAGCTCCTTGGTCAGTGTCCCTGCAGTGAAGCTGCTGGTTGGAGGAGCAGCAGTCCAGGTAAGAGTAGGTGAGTGCACGTCGCCACCACAGCACTGCTCATGCCTCAGTCAGTCCTCAGTCCACATTTGGCTGTGCATAGGGTGCCGCCTGAGAGGAAGCAAGTCCAAAGCATTTCTGCAGCGAGAAAAGGAATTCTTGGTCCTTGTGTGTCTCTGACTTTCTATGGGATAACATAGTTGTTATGCTGGAAAGAACTTTGGGCCCTATTGAGAGAAGGTGGACACCAAGAAGAAACAGATTAGAGAAATAAGACTTCACCCTTACCCTTGAGCAGCGCTGCTGCATTGTAGACATTGTACAACCTGTACAACTGTGTGCAGCGGCCCTGACTCTTACAGGACCACACATAGAAAGTGTCGCATTCCTTGGAGTCTTTTCAGACTGTATCATCCTCCACTGCTTATCTGGTAAGCACACTGTCTCTTAAGACTCAGTTTAAGGGGCATCTCCTCTGTGAAGTCTTTCTTAATTCCTCCACTCTTGATAGAATTGACTCTTCCCTTCTCTGCCTGCCTCCCCCCACTCTAAGCAGATTTTATCAGAGCCCACTTAATTGTATTTATTTGTTAATTTTCCTCTTTGTAGAGTGGGTTTATTGAGGGCAGGAACATATGTGTAGCTTTGTACCTCCAGCAAATACCACAGTGCCTGTACATGGTAGGCAGGTGCTCTCTGTAGTGTTTGCACAAGTGAATGAGGGAGGAGCTCTGAATACGGTGGCCAAGGACTGAAGAGTTTTGGGATCTCATAATATAACATTGTCATTTGGCCATAGTTTGCATGGCCACTGTGTGCTGGGCACTGAGGCTGCCTCTGGGCAGACATGGCTGCCTGGTGTGTCAAGGCATATGTGGCCACGTTGCCTCCCTACACGTCTAGGCCCCTCCTCTCAGTGCTGCGTATGCTCACTTATCTGGGTGCAGTGGGTGCCTCAACTTGTGGCTTCAAGAGTGCCAGTCCTGCACAGGGCATTTTTAAAGGTATATGTTTAAAGCTTAATTTGTTCTTGGACAGATGTATTGTAAATATGTTTTGTGCATGTTTCCTTAAACCCATTCCGACAGTGTTTTTATATAGTTTGAATTCTTCTTTATCATTTAATGAAGGAGTTCTTTTTTTCCAAAGGTTGCTTGCCAGAGTTACTAGAAAAGAGTTCCCTTTTCCTCACCTGAAAGAAACGTCTTTATCAGCATCGAGCAGCAGAGGGCGATGTAACTCTGGAGATGAAGCAGCAGAAGTAGCTCATTTATTTTTTTAAACATGGAAATAGTAGAGATTTTGTATACCTCCTCTCTGAGAGCATATAGAAGCTTTTGTAATAAATACTAATGATAGGCTTTTAAATTTTTATTTTGTCTTAAATGAAAGGAAATTTAAAGTATTCATGGAAAAAAGTCAAGTGAAAGTAGACCAGTGACCTTTTCTGGAGCACTTCCCATCCAGAACTGATTTTTTAAGACTATTATAAGTGGCTGGATATTTAAGGCCATAGATTAGAGGAGAATATCTTTTAAGGTCATAGATCAAATCAGTAGAGAACATCTTAGGCTTTTCATACAAGCTTGCATATAGGAAAACAGCTTGGAAAAGATGATACTTTTTGTTCTTTGATGGCTAACACCTGGATTGGATGTTTACATTTCTTAGGCATGGGGATAATTTTTGTGGTCCCAGGTTCTAATAAATTTTATTATTGTTATGTAACTAGGTTTGTTGCAATTTCTAGAATCTCCACTAAAAAAGAGTTTCTGTAGCGTGGAATTATTGAAGGCTTGAAACTCATGAGAGTTCTAGACTATAGGAGTGTTGTTAGAAGAAAAGAAGAAAACAGAAAACTTTTGGAACTTGGAAGCTACATCAGCCCATTTAATTCTGGCAAATGACAGTGAGAGTGTTTTTGTTGGTTTTTCTGTTGCCCTTTTTTTTTTGTACTTTAAAAAAAGTATATTGAGATATAATTCACATATAAAATTTATACATTTAAAATGTACAGTTCAGTGGTTTTTAGTATATTCACAGAGTTGTGTAGCCATCAGCACAATCAAATTTTAGAACATTTTCATCATCCCCAAAAGAAACCCTGTACTTATTACTCCCCATCCTCCTGTCCCCTTAGACAACCACTTTCCATCTCTATGGATTTGTCTATTCTGGACATTTCATATCAATGGAATCATATCATACGGTATGTGATCTTTTTGTGACTGGCTTCTTTCACTTAACGTGATTTTTCAAGGTTCATCCATGTTGTAGTATGTATCAGTACTTCATTCCATGGTATAGATATACCACATTTTGTTCATATATTAAGGGACATTGAGATTGTTTCCACTTTGGGGCTATTACGAATAATGCTGCTCTGAACATTTGTGTACAAGTTTTTGAGTGGACATATATTTTTATTTCTCTTGGGTATAAACCTAGGTGTGGAATTATTCATATGGTAACTCTGTTTAACATTTTCTAGCACCACAAACCTGTTTTCAATAGTGACTGTACCATTTTACATTCCCACCTGCAATGTATGAATGTTCTAGTTTCTCCAGATCCTCACTAACACTTGCTATTGTTAGTCTTTTTGACTACAGACATCCTAGTGAGTGTAAAGTGGTAGCTCATTGTTTTATAGTTCCCTAATGACCTATGAATGTGGGACATCTTTCCATGATGCTCTATGATGTTGGGCATCCTTTCATGTGCTTATTAGCTATTTATATATCTTCTTTGAAGAAATATTGATTTAAATCTTTTGCCTATTTTTTATTTGGATTGTCTTTTTATTACTGAATTGTAAGAGTTCTTTATATAATGTGAGTACAAGTCCCTTAGCAGATATATTATTTGAAAATGTTTTTTCCCATTCCGTGTGTTGTCTTCTAACTTTCTTAGTGATATCATTTATAGCACAAAGTTTTTAATTTTGATGAAGTCTGGTTTCTCTATTTTTTCTTTAACCATTGTGGTTTGGAATGATATCTTAGAAACCACTACCATGAAGATTTACTCCTGTGTTTTATTCTAAGAGTTTATAATTTTATCTCTTAACATTTAAGCTTCTGCTCCACGTTGACTTAATTTTTGCATGTAGCCTGAGGTAGGGGTCCAACTTCATTCTTTTGCACGTGGAAATTCAGTTCTCCGAGGACCATTGTTGAATAGACTATTCTTTTGCCATTGAATTATCTTGACACCCTTGTCAAAAATCAATTGACCATAAATTTAAGAGTTTATTTTTGGAGTTTCAGTTCTTTTCCATTGATGTACATGTCCGTCCTTATGTCAGTGCCACAATATCTTTATTACTTAGCTTTGTAGTACCTTTTGAAATCAGGAGGTGTGAGTTTTCCAAATGTATTCTTCTTTTTCGAGATTGTTTTGATGATTCTGGGTTTCTTGAATTTCCATATGAATTTTATGGTCAACTTGTCAGTTTCTGCAAAGAAACTACCTAGGATTTTGGTAGGTATTACTTTGAGTCTGTATATCAGTTTGGGAAGTATTGCCATCTTAACAATATTAAGTCTTCCACTCCATGAACATGGGACATCTTTCTATTTATTTA